AGGTCAACCACTCTTTATATTTATCATTCTTCAATCATTGTCTCAAAAATATTCATAGACACTTCACATTTAATGGTCAACAGAATAAGATGGCTACATAATTTGTAACAAGGTTTTCAATATGAAAGCTAGTCAAACAATGATAGGCTGTAGGAGAATGGATATATCCTAGTACCACACTGCCAAAGCTCTTTGGAAATACAAGTGCTATGCAAAAAATGGGTCACCAAGAAGAATCTATGAAATAAATGTGCTTAATGGTTTTCATCATGGGTATTCACTATCACAGATGGTCAACCAACTGTCCAACGTTTTTGGAAACTCTACAATGTTAATAAAAAAACAGTCAGGTTCATTCTACTGAGAATTTTGATATAAATGTTCAGTAACCCATATGAAAAAAATATCTTCAAAATACTTCATTTTAGATATTTTTCTAGTATTAGTTAAATTAACTTAAAGTAGCTTATCCTAAAGCCAGTTAAAATACCCTTCCAATAAAATCTACTGTAATCTTCTAATGTCAAAAATGATAATCAAAACATATGTGTATATAGTAGCTGCCATGATATAAAAGACTGTTTAGTTTAAATATTAGTGATTAATTTATATGTGTGAGTGAATATTTATTATTCTTCATTATAATAAGAGTTAAAAGCAGACGATTGTAGAAGGTTTTATTAACAACTAATTGGTGTAGAGAATATAGAAACTGACCAGTCGACTATGTAATAAAGATATAAATAGCATGAGACAAGCGTGAAGCAGCAGAGAGACAACAATAGACAGGTAATAGCAAAAGAGAATATAGCTGTGTGAAGTTAAGTACCATACTTAATATTGACATAAGCCTAACATTTAATATGTTTGAGTGAAACTAACAGTATAAAAAAGATAAGAAGGATAATTTTATTTGGTCAAAGCACGGATGTAAAGTAACTGAATCAGCCTGGGTACACTTTGACAAAAGGAACAGAGGATCTTCAGAAGAAAGAAGACCAAACGAGTTAAGGTAACTTGCACCACAACTGTGTGAATACTTTGTTGTACATACATTTAACTTGTTCTGAATATATATATATTATTTGAAACCAAGTAAAGTGTGTGCTGTTTATTCATCATTGAATTTATCACTAACTAACCTGCTGTAGAAGAATCCTAAGCCCAACAACAACATTGTATATATTTATATTATTAAGAAATATAAGTAAATGCCATTTATTTCGACAATTGGCAAAAAAAAAGAACTTATATATATATACACCTGGGAAAAAGTTAAGCACCCCCAAATATTTTTCAGGATTGCTTATTGAAAATAAGGTTTAATTTTCATGATGTTGAGCAATGTTCATAATTTC